CAGCAGCAGCAGCATTAACTGACCCCATTAAAAAGGCTACTGGCTCACCGAATTCGCAGAATTGGCCAGTAAAGCCCTCCCTGCAGAGACAATGGAAGGTGCCTCCCGCGTTCACGCAGGTGGCTCCATTTAGACAGGGCGAATTGAGGCACTCGTCCTTCACTTCTTCGCAGTACTTGCCCATATATCCCGTCTCGCAGACACAGCCATATCCGTAGTCGTTCTTCGCACAAATTCCGTGCGCTCCACAGACACTTGTTGGCATAACCGCCTCCTGAGCATTTAAGGTCACCGGCAAAACAGGGATTTGAAGGACAGACGTATTGGCAGACTCCGAAGTCATCTCCGCGATGAGTGCAGCTGGGGCCTCTTGATAATGTGAACAAGGATCGAGAAGGCGTGTGCACCCCAAAGGACCACAGTAAGGTCGCGCATGCTCACAGTGCCGTCCGTAGTAACTGGCGTCGCATTTGCAGTAGTAGTCGTTCGGTGAGATGTCGTAGCAGTAGGCATTATTGAGACAAGGATTCGGGTCACAGCCCCGTTTTGCGACCTAAATTTGGAAAAAAATGATGCATGCGAGTAAGTAATTAGCAGGATGTTAAAATTGAGATAAGTCAGTGACTTCAGACGAACCGTCAAAGTGAGTAGTGCTGTTTGATTAACCTGAACGCTAATTTTAGATGTTTTGAATCATAGGTTTCCTCCTATCTAACAAGAGAATGCACAATCACGCAGTGAGCATAAAGGTGAAGTAGATATTACTCGATAAACAATGTCAAACTGTTAAATAGAGATGCGGACCGGCTCTACTATATTGTCTTATAAAATGAAGGTGAAATGCAAACGAAGGGGTATAGCAGATTTTAATAATTCACTTGACCCAATTGTGAAAAATTTGGCATCCTCGATGGCATTCCAATATAGGACAACAAGGGGAGGCTTGAGTACAGCCAACGCTCCGGCCAAATGGGCTATCGATGCCCCACCGAAGCCGCGAATTTAATCACATTTAGGCCCAGGCTACTGCAACGTATGGAACCCACCATAACTGATACATTAAGCTGACTGCTTAAGAGCAAGATTTCCTAAGCAATCAATGTAGAGTCCACCAGATGATTACCAGGCACACTTATTAGGAGGAGTTTGGCAAATTTAAGTGCCCGGAAATGGTAGGGATAGATTACCAGCTCAAACCACATCCATGAGCACCTACTCATTTGCACGCTTCTGTAGAGCAGGTTATATTGGTCGTACGAGTAGGCACTTATCCAAAGGAATGCGCCAGCATCTCCCGGCATGGCAGAGAAGTGGTGAAGTCAGGAGCATAAACAGCGTCATTGTTGCCCACACTGTTGATTCAGGACATCGTGTGTTTCCCAACGAAACATTCCGGGTGATTTATAAGGTACTATTAAACTATCCAAAGTCCCTGGGCCTGTCCCTAGGCATGTACTTGCTAGCAACAGCAGAAACGACAGCTAAC